GTTTCTCATTGGCTGAGCTGTGGCGTTTCTCATTGGCTGAGCTGTGGTGTTTCTCATTGGCTGAGCTGTGGTGTTTTTCATTGGCTGGGCTGTTGCCAGGTGGGGAGAGAAATCTTCCTTCCGCAGTAAAACAGTTTTACTTCCTGTCCTAGATGCAAGCATCTGTCTCTTCCTGTTTGGTGTAGTTGACCATGTGTGATATGGCGTGAGAGCTCCCCCTACAGGCCTTCCCCACTCCAGTTTAGTTAAGGTTTCTTTTATTAATTTCCACAACCCCGTAGGGTTGATGTGTGAATTCAGGGAGGCTATACTTGTAAAGCACTTAGAATAGTTCCTGGACACACAGTAAGCTCTCAGAAATTGTCAGATGATCCTATTTATTGAGCAGTAGGTATATGGCAGGTGCTGAGCAAATCACTGTATCTTCATTATTTCGTTTACTCTTCAAAGCGGCCCTGGAAGGCGGGTCCTGTTATATCCCCATTTTACAGATAAGGAAACCAAGGGCCAGACAGATAGGTGTCACTTGCCTCGGGTCACACAGCCTGGAGGCGCCAAGGTCAGGTCAAAATATAATTTTCAAAAGGTCAAAGCATGACTCTCATACAAAGACTTAGTGATCACAGATCAAAGATTTATTTAAGGCATTAATGAGGGACCCAGGAGGGTGGCAAAGATGTTCAAGGAGAGGGACGAGAGCTTGGTGTGTATATAGTCAGCGAAAGAGAGAAGGCCAGAATGAAAGGGCACAGTTAGAGACAAAACTGGTTAATGTCCCACGGGGCAATAAAATACAAGCTTTAGGTTATCTCCTCTACTGGGCAGAAATCATCTGCAACTCAGCCGTCTTCCTGTAACGTCACAGTGTAAGTCCACGAGAGCCTCCTTCCCTCAGGGAGTGCGGCGAGCCTGAGGTGGGCCTGTTAGACAGTCCTGTTCTGTGACGTCGGAAGGATACCTGGTCATCTTCTTATTTCTAAGTTTTCAGATAAATTTTCTTACCAGCCAGAATTTGAACCCAGCCTTGTTCCCTAAGTGAACCCTGGAAAGGGAGAGAGGGAGGTTCAAGGTAAGGCTCAGTGTTGGAGATGCTCATCCAGCAAGCTTTAACTGAGCACCTACTGTGTGCTGGGCCCTGTTGTGGGCCTGGGGACACAGCGGGGAACAAGGCAGATCAGGTCCTGCCCTCGTGGAGGCAACAGTCCAGGGTGAGGAAGTGGTGAACTGCTTCCAGATTCCTACGGCGAAGGAACATGAAGCCCGGAGCCTCGCTCACGGTCATGGTGGTGGTGATTTGGGGGGGGAACAGCTTTATTGAGGTATAACTCACATTCTACATAATTCACTGATTTAACATGGACGAGTCAATGGTTTTTAGTCTATTCATAGAGTTGTACAGCCATCACCATAATCTAATTTTAAAACAGTTTCATCACCGCATAAAGAAATCCTGTATCTTTAGCTACCGTCCCCAATCCTCCCCCACCCCACCTTGGCAACACTAACCTACTTTCTGTCTCTTTAGATTTCCTATTCTGGACACTTCCTTTAAGTGGAATCATGCAATCTTTGTCCTTTTGTGTCTGGCTTCTTTTGCTCAAAGAAGGATCGTCCATGTTGTAGCATCCATCTGTACTTCATTCCTTTTCCTTGCCACGTAATATTCCACTGCATGGATGTACCACATTTTGTTTACCCATTCATCAGTGGATGGCCAGAGTTGTTACCATCTTTCAGCTATCGTGAATAGAGCTGCTATGAACATTCCTGTACACATTTCTGTACGGACATATGTTTTCATTTCTCTTGGGGACACGCCTAGGAGCGGAATTGCTAGGCCGTATGGAAACTCTATGCTTAACCGTTTGAGGAACTTCCAGGCTGTTTTCCGCAGCAGCTGAGCCATTTTACACTCCCACCAGCAGCCTGTGGTGGGGATTTGAGGTAGAGGAGCAAATGGGGTCGGCTGGATGGAAGCCGCCATTAGAAGGTGCCCCTTCCCCGCAGGCTGAACTCGAGAACGTGTCTGGGGCGCTGAGTGAGGCCGAGTCCAAAGCCATCAGGCTGAGCAAGGAGCTGAGCAGCATGGAGGCCCAGCTACACGACGCCCAGGTGACCCCCGCCCGCCCGTCAGCACCCAGCACCCCCGGACCTCCCCACCCGCCTGCCCACACCTGACATCCGTCCTCCCTTCCGTCCACAGGAGCTGCTGCAGGAGGAGACCAGGGCGAAGCTGGCCCTGGGGTCTCGGGCACGAGCCCTGGAGGCTGAGGCAGCAGGGCTGCGGGAGCAGCTGGAGGAGGAGGCAGCCGCCAGGGAGCGCGTGGGCCGCGAGCTGCAGACCACCCAGACCCAGGTGAGCCGTCCTGGAGGGAGCCCTCGAGGGGACACCCGGTCCCCCAACCTGCTCCTCCCAGCCCCCAGATCAGGGACGGCCCCATTGCTCACCCAGTCATAGGGCAGACCCCAGGGTGCCGTTCTCCCCGCTGCCTCTCCCTCAGCCCCCAGAGCCTGTCTGTGCAGAGACCCGTCCCTCCTCCCCCGACTCTCTCTCTCATCCCCTACTGTCCGTCCACACAGCCCCAGCCCCGCCCAGGCCTCATCCTCTGCCGCCTGGATCCTCATCTCAGCCTCCCTTTACGCCTCCCTGCCTCCAGTCTCTCCCCGTCCAGCTCATCCTCACACAGCCCCACAGGGGTCCTTCTACACCCAGAGCGACCCCTGCCCCTCCCTTGCTCGTAGCCCCCTAGGGCTCCTCCTGGACAAAGCCCTACCTCTCAGCTGGGCGCGGAGGCCCCGCATTCTCTGGTCCTTCCTTCATCTTTAGCTGTATTCATCTTGCATCACTGCTTCCCCACTTCACTTGGGAAAACCCTTCACAGTCTTCACAACTTAGTGTCAGCCTCCCCCCGTTGCAGGAAGTCCCTGACCACCCCCCTCTGAGCTCCCACAACACTTTTTTCTCCCCTGTCCCCACTCTGATCACCCTGGGCTGGAACTGTCTCCAGCTAGGAGTCTCCCCACCAGACTGGGACCTCCTTGAAAGTGGGATCCTAGCAGAGTTAGGTCTGGGTCCCCAGCATAGCCCAACATAGAGCCTGACATGTAGCAGGCCTTTAGAATTGACTGTTGAGTGAATGAGTGATGAATGCATGCTTGCAAATATCCTTCTTCAACTGGCGAACTCCTATGCATACTTCAAGATCCACCTCAAATGCCCCCTCCTCCAGGAAGCCTCTCCTGAATGTTCTAAACAGATTCTGACTCCCTCCTGTGGACTCCCATGGCTCCTATACTTCTATCTTAGCCTCCATCACCCTGGCTGTGACACTCAGTCTCCCCCATCAGACTGGGCGTTTCCCAGGGCAGAGTGGGGTCTGATTCATCTCTGGGTCCTGGTGGGAATAATTTTAATCTCCTGAAGGAGCTGGGGCTCACCGAACTCGCAACCTCAACCCTCCTCCGAGGCAGAAGAGCCCGGTGGAGTGAGTCCTTTCCCTCTTCAGGCCTCGGTCTCCTCATCTGGGAAATGGGGCACCACCAACTCGCACCCTGGTCCCAGCCGTGACTGCCGCCCTCCCTCTCTCTCCTCCCCCAGCTCTCAGAGTGGCGGCGGCGCCAGGAGGAGGAGGCGGGGGCGCTGGAGGCCGGGGAGGAGGCACGGCGCCGGGCAGCCCGCGAGGCGGAGGCCCTGACTCAGCGCCTGGCGGAAAAGACAGAGGTGGTGGACCGGCTGGAGCGGGGCCGCCGGCGGCTGCAGCAGGAGCTGGACGACGCCACCGTGGACCTGGAGCAGCAGCGGCAGCTCGTGAGCACGCTGGAGAAGAAGCAGCGCAAGTTCGACCAGGTAAAGCGCCTCGGTTTACCCAGCCGGGAAATCAGGATGCTGATCCATGCTCGCCGTGGATATGGTGAGGGATCAGTAATGTGTGATGTCACAGCTCAACTGTGATCCTGGCGGGGGGACCCTAGGGCAGGATGCTCCTTCCCTCTGAGCCTCAGTAAATAGGACACTCACATCCTGCTTTATGTCTCTTGTCCCAAAATAATCGTCGATAGTACCCGCTTTTACTCCCAAAGGTGTCCTGAAGGTGCCCCAGAGGGTGCTTGTGAGGATTAAATGAAGTACCACATCTCACTTCTCCTGCTGACTCTCTGTGTACTCAGACAAGCTGCCTTTCCCGTTTCAGCCTCAGTTTGCCCATCTAGGAAATGGGGATAACGTTAAGCATCTGGAAATGCGAGGATGAAATAAAAGTCACAGAACCCCAGAGCGTTAAGAACAGGCAACTCTTGGGGCCGGCCCAGTGGTGTAGTGGTTAAGTTCATGCACTCTGCTTCAGCAGCCTGGAGTTCGCAGGTTCGGATCCCAGGCACGGACCTACGCACTGCTTATTAAGCCATGCTGTGGCGGCATCCCACATATAAAATAGAGGAAGATGGGCACAGATGTTAGCTCAAGGCCAATCTTCCTCAGCAAAAAGAGGAGAATTGGCAATGGATGTTAGCTCAGGGCTAATCTTCCTCACCAAAAAAAAAAAAAAAAAAAAGAACAGGCAACTTGGAGCTTCAGATCCCAGCTCGGCCCCTTTCTGGCTATGTCGCTTGGGCAAATTGCTCAACCCTCTCTGTGCCTCATTTTCTTCATCCTGAACATGGAGGACTCATTCTTTCACCTTCATTTTTGAAAGATATTTTCACTGGAGGTAGAATTCTAGGTAAATGGTTTAATTCTTTCAGCACTCTGGACAGATCATTCTGTTATCTCTGGCCTCCGTTGTTTCAGACGGAAAGTTAGCAGTCATTTAAATCACTGTTTCCCGCGGCGCGGGTTCGGATCCCGGGCGCGCACGGATGCACAGCTTCTCTGGCCATGCTGAGGCCGCGTCCCACATACAGCAACTAGAAGGATGTGCAACTATGATGTACAACTATCTACTGGGGCTTTGGGGGGAAGAAAAAGGAGGAGGATTGGCAATGGATGTTAGCTCAGAGCCGGTCTTCCTCAGCATAAAAGAGGAGGATTAGCATGGATGTTAGCTCAGGGCTGATCTTCCTCACAACAACGAAAAAAAAACAACACTGTTTCCCTATAAATAACGTGGTACATTTTTCTAGCTGGTTTACATTTTTTCTCTTTATCTTTTTAGCAGTTTGACTGTGACATGTGCAGCTGTGGGTTTTTGTAAATATTTATCCTGTTTTGAGTTTGCCAAGCTTCCTACAGCTGTGGGGTGGTGTTTGGGTCAAAGGTGGAAATTTTCAGCCACATTTTCTTCAAATATTTTTCTACCCCATTCTCTCTCCTTCACATTCTTCTTGGACTCCAAATACATGTATGTTTAACTGCTTAATACTGTCCCACAGATCATTGAGGCTCTATTAATTTTTGTATATCTCCTAGAATTTTATATAAATTCTTTTCACATAATTCTCTTTTTGGATTGCCTTCTTTCACTCAGAATAACTATTTTGAGATTCATCCATGTTTTTGCATGTATCAAGAATTCATTCCTTTTTTTTTTACTGCTGAGTATTATTCCTGAATAGACAGACATTTTATATATCCATTAACTCGTTGATGAACACTGAATTGTTCCTAGTTTTGGGCTATTATGAATAAGACCTTAGTCTTCGTAATAGGATGTAGTGGTTTTAATTCACGTTTCCCTAATGAACAGTGATGTTGAGCGTCTTTTCATGTGCTGATTTGCCATCCATACGTCTTGTTTGGTGAAGTATCTGTTCAAATCTTTTGCCCGTTTTTTTTTTTATTGGATTCTTTCTTTTCTTATTATTGAATTTCAAATGTTCTCTGTATATTCTGAATACAAACTCTCCATCAGATCTGTTGCTTTGCAAATATTTTCATCCAGCCTCCGGCTTGTCTGTTCATTCTCTTAATAGAGTTTTTCAAAAAGCAGAAGTTCTTAATTTTGATGAAGTGCAATTTATTAATTTGTTATTTTATGGATCACGCTTTAGTGTTGTGTGTGAGAAATCTTTTTTAACTCAAGGTCACAAAGATTTCCTCCTGTGTTTTTTTTTAGAAGTTGTCTGGTTTCAGGTTTTACATCTATGTCTATGATCCATTTTGAGTAATTTTTTTTATATATGGTGCTATCATGGCTATAAGTTAATTTTTTTATATGTATAGATATCCCATTGTTCAAACACGATTTGTGGAAAAGACTCTCTCCACTTGTTTTTGCATGTATATTAAAAATCAAGTAGTTAGTTCTCTAATTTTTTCTTCTTTTCCTTTTTCTTTACTGTTTCTCTGGGATTCCAAATACAAGGATGTTTGACTCCTTGATGCTGTCTCACAGGTTATTAAAGCTCTGTTAAATTTGTTTTACAGTCTTTTTGTTTTTTCCTTTGTTCTGTTTAGATCATTCTATTGACCTGTTTTCAAGTTTACTGACTCTTCTAATGTGTCCGATCTGCTCTCAAATTCATCCAGTGACCTTTTCATTTCAGATATTATACTTTTCAGTTCTGGAGTTTCTGTTTGGTTCTGTTGTAGTTTCAGATCCCTCCTGAAATACTCCTGTCTCTTCACCCATTGTATCCGTCTAGTCCTGAAACTTACTTATCACGGTTAAAGTCTTTGTGATAATGCCAGTATCTAGGTCATCTGTGGGTCTGTTTTTGTGGGCTGATTTTTCTCCTGACTCTGAGTCTCATTCCCTTCCTTTTCTGCAGGTCTTATAAGTTTTATTTTTTGTCCATTACTGTGTCTTCAAAAACAGTAAAAGTTGGAGGACATTTTTTAAATATATGCATTTTTTTTTCTACCACTGCTCCAAAAAGAAACACCCTTTCCTTTGTTGGGTGTGTAGAGTGAGGGGCTCGTCAGTTTGATCCATTCAAGAGTTGAGCTGGTTTGGGACACGGCTGCGACTTTAACCCCCTACCTTCCTCTTGTGTCTCTGCCTCTGTCTGTCTATCTGTCTCTCTGTCCCTGGCTGCTCCCTCTTCCCGATCCCCTCGTGTGTTCCTTTCAGCTAATGTGTTTCCCCCACCCCATCTCCCTCAACCCGGAAGCTCCTGGCGGAGGAGAAGGCGGCTGTGCTGCGGGCGGTGGAGGAGCGTGAGCGGGTCGAGGCCGAGAGCCGGGAGCGCGAGGCCCGGGCCCTGTCGCTGACGCGGGCGCTGGAGGGGGAGCAGGAGGCGCGTGAGGAGCTGGAGCGGCAGAACCGGGCCCTGCGGGCGGAGCTGGAGGCACTGCTGAGCAGCAAGGATGACGTCGGCAAGAGTGTGAGCGGGAACCCCCTCCCCGAGACGCACGTGTGGGCGACTGCCTGCACGCTTGACGTTGGCAGACACGTACACACGTGTGCTCTCACACACACGGCATGAGGAGAAGCAGACACCAACGTCACGTGTTCACGCACAAGCACGGAACAGGAGAGCGGCTGACCAAACACGTGTTCACGCACACATACGCAGAACGTGGGGAGATCTCCCGTGTTCACACACAGAACGTGAGAGCTGCTCACAGACATACGTGTTCACGTGCGTGTATGTGGAATGTGAGGAGAATCTTCCATGTTCACACACGGAACAGGAGAGCTGCCCACAGACATACATGTTCACATGCGTGTACATGGAATGTGAGGAGACTCCTCCATTAAACACATCTGTTCCTGTGCACACAAAGAGCATGAGAACCACGCATCATGTGTGTATGAATACTCAGAACGTGGAGAGAATTTACCACAACGTAGAGCCTGAGAACTGCACCCCAAACATGAGCATGTGTGTATACACAGGTACGCACACACCAGAGGCGTGCACACACACACACCACACGTATCACATACACACCACACACGCACGCACGCACACACACCACACAGACCCAGTGTGAGGACACCCCACCTTGCCACCCCCCAACCCCACTGAGCACACACAGGCTCCCCCACCAGGCATCTCTCTTCCCCCAACTCACGCATCCCTCCAGGGCCTGCGAGGGCTCCCCCAGGCCTGTTCCCAGTCCCCACTGACCCCGTGTCCAGCTTCTGAAACGCCCACCACACCTTCCGCTCCATCCTTCCTTCATTTACCCAATAAATATATTTATGGAAGACCAGCCGGGACAGCCCAGGGGCGCGGCCCACCCCGATTAATGACGGGAGGCACTGATGGAATCCGTGTTTAGTTGAGTCCCTGGGCAGACACCCTCCCATCGTCCTTCCTTATTGCCAAACAGTGTTCTCCCGTGCGTGCGACAGGTGAGGGCTTTATCTTCTCACATGCTTTGGCGTTGACCCTGTGGAGCTCTTAGCCAGGCCTGGAGAGAACCCCTATCCCAGTGGCATACCCTTGGCCTGCAGCCCCAGAGAAACTGGAGCCGAAATCCAACTTAGACTCGAGCTACTAAGGTCTGTCCTTTGGGAGAACTGTCGGGTTATTTGTCATGACTCCCAAGGCCTTTGTGGGAAACAGGATGTCAGTGGGAGAAAGCTTGATTCCTTCAAGTCAACAACATTGATTGGCAGGTGCCAGATAGGAGGGGAGACCAGTTGGCCCCTCCAAGGGCTGAAAGTAGACCTAGTCACTGACCACGTTTCCGTGAGGGTCATTGGGTGGTGGGGATACACAGATAGAGTCCCTGCCCTGTGGACTCAGTCCAGTGTGGGAGGCGGGTGTTGCACAAAAAAGACACATGAGTGCAAGTTAAATGACCATCGTGACTAGGGCTGAGTCGGAGACGGGCTCAGTGCCAGGAGCATGGGTAACGGGGAGGCCCTGACAGGTCAAGGGACACTTCTCTGAGGAGGTGACAATTAAGGAGAGGCATGAGAGGGGGGTCTCTGAGAATTCACAAGCCCAGATCTGCTTTTCACAAGGCGTTTGGGGGTTTTAATTTACACCTCCCTGAAAAGGCTGGGAACCCCCCAAGATGAGAAAAAGATAGAAGTAGATAGTGGGTTGGAGATAGCCTGGGGAGTCTGGCAGAAACCAACACTGATAACTCGGGAGCTCTATGCCTTCAACCCGCTTCTGCACAGGGTTCCTGAAGATGAAGGCCCAGTGAGCTGAGCTCACAATCCAAAATCACAAAACCCACGAGGAAATAACCCACCAGGAGTGCGAGTCAGCTGACCTAACCAACACTAGAAGGGGACTCTCAAGAGCTTCAGACAATAGAACGATCATGCATGGATTTAATAAAATATGTTTTAGGATGACTCAGAATGAGACACATAGTAAGTAGGTGCCTAGGAAATGTTGAATGAGTGAATGAATGAATGAACTAGGAAGGGCACATCGACTTGATGCCTCTCCCTCCTCTGTCAAATCTTCCCTCCCTCTATCCTAGGATAGACCTGGGACCATGGCCTCCCCCTCCCTCAGTGACCCAGGTGCCCAGTGCTCACCATGCCTCCCCACCAGGTGCACGAGCTGGAGCGAGCCCTCCGGGTGGCCGAACAGGCAGCCAACGACCTGCGAACACAGGTGACAGAGCTGGAGGATGAGCTGACGGCAGCCGAGGACGCCAAGCTGCGCCTGGAAGTGACCGTGCAGGCCCTCAAGACACAGCATGAGCGTGACCTGCAGGGCCGTGACGAGGCCGGCGAGGAGAGGCGGCGGCAACTGGCCAAGCAGGTACCAGCAGGCCAGGCGGGGGGCTGCAGGGCGCCCGTCCAGCTGGGTGGGCCCTGCTGCTTCCAGGCAGCAAGACAGGCCCCAGGTGTCACCTGCCCACCTGTTACTTGGTGTTTCTACCCAAGTCACTCCTACTAGCCAGCATGCCCCTGCTCCCCAATCCGTTCACCCCCATAACCCATCAACCTGTACGCATATCCCACTGACAGCCAATGAGACATCCTCCATCCGCCAAACCATTCATCCACCCATCTACCGCCCCATCTACTCAGCCACCCAGACACAGCGTCTCCACCAACCAACGCTTCTGTGCAACCAGCTCTGCACCCAACTTCTCCTCCATCCACCTGACTACCCCCTTCCAAGCAACCTCCTTTCCCCGACCCAGCCACTCCCTTATTTATCCAACCCCAGCCCCTCCACACCCCCAACCTACTCATGCACTCATTGACCAGCTCGTCTACACCCACTCCATCCACACCTTACTCCCTCACTCGTTGCCTCATTCACCAGCTCCCTCCTCTGTTCCATCACTCTCTCCTTCGCTGCACCCGCCCTTCATCACTCATTCAGTTGAGGCGTTTCCTCTGGTCTGCAGCGGGCACGGCCTGCTGCGAGGTGACGAGTGCTGAGCATGGGAGAGGCGAGTCAGCCCTGAGTGTCAGAAAGACCTCTCTGGGGCATGTGGGCAGCAGACTGGAGGGGGAGAGACTAGAGCTGGGAGCTCAGAAGGAGAGATGAACAGGTGACCCAAGGCTGGTGAGGGGGGTCTCTGGGTGTTCTTTATCTCCCTTGGCCTCACTGACCCAGCCTCGGGTGAGTGTGCACGACTGTGTCCTGGAGGCACTGGGGAGCCACAGAGGAGCCATGAGCAGGGGAGGGGCAGTGTCAGCTCTGAATGTAGAAGGATCCTTCTGGAGCCGTGCAGGAATGGGCTGGAGGGGAGAGACACGCAGAGAGGAGGCTGAGGTTGGGGGAGAGGAAGAGGTTGAGCCGGGGCCGTGGGGACAGAGCGGAGAGAGGCAGGGGGCAGGAGGAACGGGGCTCAAGGCCTGGGCAGGGGCTGGAGGGTGGACGTCTGTGTCACCAGCATGTAGAGGGAGCCTGGGCCTCCTTTGCCCTGAGCGCACCTCTCGGCCTCCCCCCAGCTGAGGGATGCAGAGGTGGAGCGGGACGAGGAACGCAAGCAGCGTGCTCTGGCCGTGGCCGCCCGCAAGAAGCTAGAGGCCGACCTGGAGGAGCTGAAGGCCCAGACGGCGGCCGCGGGGCAGGGCAAGGAGGAGGCAGTGAAGCAGGCTCGCAAGATGCAGGTAAGGGGGGCGCTTCAGCCGCGGGGGGGGGGGGCGGCCCCTCCCTCGCTCCAGACCCCGCCCCCTCCACCCCACAGCAGCCCCCACATTGGTCCACACCTTTATAAACATCCGTGCCCCAAAGGCTCACTTGATTATTTTCATGTTTTTTATTTCCTTTGCTTAAAATGCTTAATTTTTAAGTCCAACTTCCTCATTTTATTTAATTTTTGAAACGGAAATACTTTAGGGTTTTTTCCCGTTACGAAAGTTATACCTGGTTCGGAGGTTCGCGGGTTCGGATCCCAGCCGCGGACCTATGCACCGCTTATCAAGCCATGCTGTGGAGGCGTCCTGCATATAAAGTGGAGGAAGATGGGCTCGGACGTTAAACCAGGGCCAGTCTTCCTCAGCAAAAAGAGGAGGATCGGCAACAGATATTAGCTCAGGGCTAATCTTCTTCACCCAAAAAAAAAAATTTTTTTTTGGATGATAATGATGTGTCAGGGTAGATTCATCGATTGTAACAAATGTCTGGTGGGGGACGTTGATGATGGGGGAGGCTGTGCCATGTGGGGTAGGGGGCATAGGGGAAATCTCTGGACCTTCTGCCCAATATTGCTGTGAACCTAAAACTGCTCTAAAAAGTAAAAGTTCATTTGTTTAAAAAAGCATAGAACTGGGCTGTCCAGTACAGTGGCTCCCAGCCCGGTGTGGCTACTGGGCGTCTAAAACACAGTGGGTCAAAAATCCAAATTACATACTGGATTCCGAAGACATAGAAAAAGGTAAAATATCTCAATAATTTTTGAATTGATTACAAATGGAAATAACATTTTGGATATATGAGGCTACATCAAATATAGCGTTCACACTAATTTCACCTGATTCTTTTTACCTTTTTAATGTGGCTACTAGAAAATGGAAAACAACACAAGTCCTTGCAATATATTTCTGTGGGGCAGCGCTGGTATGAAGAGATCCCTTCCAGAAAGTAAAAATTGCCAAGCGTGTCATCACTGAGAGAAAACTGCTATGCTGAAAAGCTATTATTATCAAGCAAATAATAATAATATTAACAACAGTGACGATTTCCGTCCTGCCACTACCAAGCCCATTGCTGCCATCAGAATGGTTAACAACTACAGACTATTCCATTGTGAAGACACAAAGTGGGTTTTTTTTTAATGGTGGTGGATTTTTAGTTTGTGTTTTATTTTTCGATATTTTAAACACCGTTGAGGAGAAAACCCTTATACTGGCATCTTGACACACTCAGAAGTAGTGCCGCCAGGTAGCAAAGTGCTAGAAGTGTAAACCCTGGGGCCAGATGGTCTGGGTTCAAATCCAGGCTCTGCCACTTGCCACCCTAGGCAGGTTCCTGAACCTCCCCGAGCCTCAGTTTCTCCATCTGTAAACTGGGGAGGAAAATAGTCCCCACGAACTGGAGCTGTGGGGGTTCAGCAAGTCCATAAGCATTTGCCATTGTTATTATTACTGCAGAGTCCAAATATTATACCCATTTTAGGCTTACTTTAATTTTAAGGTGTTTCTTTTTTAAAGAGGAGGCAGCTGAGGCCCAGAGAGGGATAGGGTCTGGCCCAGGGTCACACAGCAAGCGGCTGGGGGCGGGCGGGGTGCGGAAGCCCAGGTCTATAGGGCTATGCTTGCTCACAGGGAGGCGAGGAGGCCCCACAGGGCTGATGCGAGGGTAGGGGGTGCTCCGTGAGTCAAGACCAGGCTGAGCCCACCCACTCGCTCCGTTTCGCCCAGGCCCAGATGAAGGAGCTGTGGCGGGAGGTAGAGGAGTCGCGCACCTCCCGGGAGGAGATCTTTGCCCAGAACCGGGAGAGTGACAAGCGCCTCAAGGGGCTGGAGGCGGAGGTGCTGCGGCTGCAGGAGGTGAGGCCAGGGTGAGCGGGGCCTGGGATGGGAGGCTGGGGGTGGTGGGCGGGGCCCTGGGATGGGAGGCTGGCGATGAGAGGGGTGGGGCCCTGGGATAGGAGGCTGCTGGGGGGCGTGGGGCCCTGGGATGGGAGGCTGGTGGTAGGGGTAAGCAGGGCCATGGGATGGGAGGCTGGGGGTTGGGGGACACAGCTCTGGGATGGGAGGCTGGGGGTGGTGGGGGCGGGGCCCTGGGATGGGAGGCTGGGGATGAGGGTGGGCGGGGCCAACCACAGTGGTCCTGGGGTCGCTAGGGAGCCCCGGGAGCGTTCTGAGCAGAGGAGGGGCCGGGTGCGTTCTGGGGTGGTGACCGGGATGGACTGAGCCGGGAGACTGGAGACAGGGAGGCTGGGGAGAGAGGAGGAGGCCTGAGCCGGAGCTCTGGGGATGCAGAGGAGGGAACAAGGCAGAAAGTAATGGGGCAGGATGGACAGACTGTGGGTGGTAAGGGGGCAGAGGAGGCCAGGAGAGACCCGGGGGTCTGGCCCGGTGACTGGGGGAACCTGGAAGGAGGAGCAGGTTTGAAAAGAGACGCCGAGCTCAGTGAGGAGGTGATGATGGTGGGGGGCCTGGGGGGTGGGAGGCAAGAGGTGGACACGGGTCAGGGGCTCGGGGGACGGATTTAGGAGACATCTGCCTGTGGATTGAAGTTCATTCCAAAGTTACCCAGGGACGGCGTGTTCACATATAAAAAAGGCCCACACTCGAGGTGTGAGGGGCAGGGAGGCCAGTGCCCAGAGAGCCGCCCCTCACCTCTGCTGACCACTCGTCTCTCTGTCATCGCAGGAACTGGCCGCCTCCGACCGCGCCCGGCGGCAGGCCCAGCAAGAGCGGGACGAGATGGCGGACGAGGTGGCCAATGGCAGCCTCAGCAAGTGAGTGGCTCATGGTAACGGGGAGCGGGACACCCTCCTCTGGCCATCCTGCCCTCTCACCTGCCCCCGGCCTGTTCTCCCCAGGGCCGCCATTCTGGAGGAGAAGCGTCAGCTGGAGGGGCGCCTGGGGAAAATGGAAGAGGAGCTGGAGGAGGAGCAGAGCAACGCAGAGCTGCTCAATGACCGCTACCGCAAGCTGGTCCTGCAGGTGAGCACAACCCGGGCACCCCCTGCCAGCCCGGGTCCCCACTGACCTGGAGCCATAGCCTTCAGTCCTGTTATTCAATGGACGTAGGAAAAGGGGAGTTTTGAGTTGGGTTTTGAAGGTTGAATAGGAGTTCTCAAAGGGGGGATGCCTTCATTCACTTGTATTTCTGAGGCTTCTCGATAAAAGAGCTGGATAGAGATGAATTATGTAGGGTTTCTGTCCTGCAGAGTTCCCTGGGGAAACAGACATGGAGCTGAACTGTCACAATATAGGGTGGCATGTGTGATAATAGAAGTATCCTGGGCCCAGTAGACCGAGAGAGAGAGAGAGAGAGAGGACTCTCTGCAAGAGTCACAAGAAGGCATTTGGGAGAAGGGACATTTGGCTGGGGTTTTAAAGCATAAGTAGGAGCTTGGCAGATGGAGTAAAGTATATTTTCATTTGTATATTTATTTATAAATATTTTCTGAGGCTTCTGGAGGCCCAGATCCCATTCTAGGTGATGCTGGGGACCTAGAGACGGATCATTCCTGGTCTCTGCCCTTAAGGACATCCTAGTTTGATGGAGGAGACAGAGTATCCCAATACAGAAATACAAATGAAAATGGAGGAAGCGTAAGACACTGTGAGAAACTAGGGGTCTACTGACCTCGCCTGGATGCTGGGGGCTATCAAGAAAGCCTTCCTGATGGAGGTGATGCCTTAAGAGGTTTTGTAGGAAGTTAGGAGTTTGCCAGGCGGACAACAGAGGGATGGACTTTCCAAGGAGAGACCTATGTCTTCATTATTTCATTTATTTTTAAAGGCACATCTTGAGGCCTCTCATGGGCCTTGCCTTGGCACTGCTGGGGGCTCAGAGAGGGGTAAGACCCTGGCTCAGCCCTTAAGGAGCCCCTAGGCCAGTGGGAGAGGCAGTCATGCTCCAAGATGATACAGCTCCCATCCCACTCAGAGTGGAATCCCAGTCACCTCCAAGGCTCCACACTCTGGTCCCTGGCTAACTCAGACCTTATCTCTGACCCTTCTCCCCCTAGCCCACTCTGCTCCAGCCACACCAGCCTCCTCACTATTCCTTGATGATGCCAAGTTTATTCCCACCTCAGGGCCTTTGCACTTGCTGTTCCTGGAATGCTCTTATCCCAACCATCACGTCTCACTCCCTCAAAACAGCCTTCCCTGCCACCCTCCCTCCCATAATGTCTTTCCATTCTCTCTGGTTTAGTCTTCTCTGTATTACTTACCACTACCCAGCATTATATTATACATTTACTTGTTTGTCTATTATCCATCTCCCCCCAGAATGTAAGCACCTCCTTGAGGGCAGAGCCTTGCCTTAGTTTTGTTCACTTCTTTATCCTCAATACCTAAAACAGTGCTGGGTGCTCACTATAGATTAAATGAATAAGCCAATACATACTCTGATGGAGGGAGCATAGGACACTACAACCATATAAAGAGTGATGTAACTTAACCCCACCCACATCCTTGGCTGGTGGTGAAAAGGAGAACCTTTTACAAAAAGAAAATAAAACTTAAAAAGACACAGAAAGGGATTCACAAGAAAATAGCAGACATTGAAGGCAGGCAAAGGAGATCCAACATATGGATAATGGGAATCCATGAAGAAGAAAACCAAAGGAAGGGAACAGAGCAAATGTCAGAAGCCATGATGCCTGAACACTTTCCTGAAACAAAAGAGTTTGAAGCTCCGTATGGAAGAACACACTGTGCACCTGATATTGATTCATAAAAACAGATACCAAGACAGAGGCTAGTAAAAATTTTGGACTTTCAAAAGGAAAAAAAAAAAATCCTTTAGCCATCCAGAAAAGAAATGAGCAAGTGATATATAAGGAAAAGAAAAGTAGATATCATCAGATTTTTTTTGATGGCAAGACTTTATGCTGGAAGCAAATGGAGGAATATATTTAAGATACTGGAAGAAAGAAAATGTGAGCCAAGGATTTTGTATCAAGCAAGACTTAGTTTCAAGTGTAAAGGATGCCAGCAGGTTGTGAGCCTGCAAGAAGCCAGGGACTCTTCCCGTGAACCCTCCCTGAGGAATCAGCGAAACCAGTGGTTCTCAAAGTGTGGACCCAGGACCAGCAGTGTTGGCATCTCCAGGGGACTTGGAAATGCAAGTTCTCAGGCCCCAGCCCCGCCCAAGTGAAGGAGGAATGCTGAGGTGGGGCCCAGAAATCTGTGTTTTGATGAACTCTCCAGGTGGTTTTGAGGTGTAACAGGTCTGAGAACCACCCAGAGACCCAGGTCCAGACGATCAGATCCCTAGAGAGACATTAGCACGACAGAGTAACAGGCATACACTTTACTCATCGTTCTAAGACTCAGTGAAGGCTGAGCAGGAGTAAGAAAGTTGGTGGCTATGTGCTCAGTTGTGTGGAGTACAACTATTTTTTTAATGGAGAGAATGGGCAAATATGCAAAAAAAATTTTATTACTGTATTCAGTAATTATACTGGTCATGATGGTATTAGCGTTGTGTTTCTGAGACCATTGTGTGTGTAATGTGGGATAAAGTAAATGATTAAAGATGAGATATTCTTTTTTTTTCTTTTTTTTTTTTGAGGAAGATTCGCCCTGAGCTAACATCTGTGCCAGTCCTCCTCTATGTTGTATGTGGGTCACCGCTGCAGCAGGACTGCTGACAAGTGGTGTGGGTCCATGCCCGGGAACTGAACCTGGGCTGCCGAAGCGGAGTGCGCCAAACTTAACCACTAGGCCATGGGGCTAGCCCCAAAAGATGAGATATTCTAGGGGCTGGCCCGGTGGCATAGTGGTTAAGTTCACGTGCTCCACTTTGGCAGCCCCAGATTGGCAGGTTCAGATCCCGGGCATGGACCTACACACCACTTATCAAGCCATGGTGTGGCAGCGTCCCATATATAAAGCAGAGGAAGATGGGCACAGATGTTAGCCCAGGGGCAGTCTTCCTCACCAAAAGAAAAAAGATGAGATATTCTAATTCTGTCATCACCTGTGTCCATAATCTCAGGATCGTCAGTGTGTAAGAACCTAGACACAGATGTTATAGAGAAGAGGCGAGGTTAAAAACAAAACAAAATGAAAGAACCCTGTAGTCCTGAATTCAACTTGGATGTATTCACATGAACTTAGGAGGTATTTTGTATAGATCCAGCCTATCTCTGTCCACCCAAAAGGCCTAGAAATGATAACAAATCCAGCAGCAGTGAGCATCCCTAGGTCCCAAATTGTGGTCTAGAAATACCGTTTCCCACCAAAAGAAACTGGGGCTTTAGAAACGACTGACTCCAGATCTGAAGCAGGAGATGAACAAGAGTAGCTTGGAACATCTTGTCACGCTGTGCCTTGGTCTGCTCAGGCTGCCATAACAAAATACCATAGACTGGAACAGAAATTTATTTCTCACGGTTGTGGAGGTTGAGAAGTCCCAGATCAAGGTGCCAGTGAAGTAGGTTTCATTCTGGAGCCTCTTCTCTTGGCTTGTAGACGGCCGCCATCTTGCTGTGCGCCCATGTGGGGAGAGAGAGAGAGCTCTCTTGTGTCTCCTTATGAGGGCGCTAATGCCATCGTGGGGGCTTCACCCTCATGACCTCATCTAACCCTAATCACCTCCCAAAGGCCCCTTCTCCAGATACCATCACGTTGGCGTTAGGGCTTCAACATGTGAATTTGGGGAACACAAACATTCAGTCCATAACATACCAGTTATGGAGGAAGCCAGCGTGGTGATGTCAGAAGCACTTAGGGGTCAGCCTGGAGAGGCTCCCAGTGGCCCCAAATGGGGCAATTTGAGCTTCAACAAGGATGATAACTGCAGTTGGTTTAAATCCATCAAATCTGTTGAAATCCATGAGTCCACAATGATATTTTAAAAAATACTTGGGCCGGCTCCGTGGCTTAGCGGTTAAGTGCACGCGCTCTGATGCTGGCGGCCCGGGTTCGGATCCCAGGCGCGCCCCAAGGCACCACTTCTCCGTCCAGCGCGAGGCCGAGTCCCACGTACAGCAACTAGAAGGATGTGAACCTATGACATACAACTATCTGCTGGGGCTTTGGGGGGAAAAAAATGAATAAATAAAATCTTTAAAAAAAAAAATAAATAAAATAAAAATAAATAAAAAAATAAAAAATACTGATTAGTCACTGTATTGGTTTCCTGGGGCTGCCGTAACAAATGATCACAAACCGGGGGGCTTAAAACAAGAGTGACTTACTCTCTCACGGTTCTGGAGGTCAGAAGTCCAAAATCAAGGTGTCGGCAGGGTCGGTTCCTTCTGCGGGAGAGTCTGTTCTGGGCCTCTCTCCCAGCTGCTGGTGGTTGCCAGCCACCCTGGGCTGGTAGATGCCTCACTTCTGGCTCTGCCTCTGTCTTCACATGCCCTTGTCCGCGTCTTCTCCATGTGTCTGTGTCTCCTCTCCTCTTCTTATAAGGACACCAATCGTGTTGGATTAGGGGCCCACCCTACTCCGGTATGACCTCATCTTAACTAATTCCATCTCCAAAGACCCTACTTCCAAATAAAGTCACATCCCGAGGCTCCAGGTGGGCATGAATGTTTGGAGGGAGACTCTTCAACCCAGTAGAGTCACCTTCGGAGGATGAGAGGGAACCAAGTCATCACCTCGAAAACTCGTAAAGAGAAAGAATTAAGTCCTTGGACCCAACTGCCCATTTGAAGGAAACGTAGAGAACAGAGAAATGTGTGAATCAGACACGGAGAAACGGCAGGCCAAATGGTCCAGACTCTTCAACAGATAAATTGTAAGGAAATAAAAGGGATGGAGGAGGGAGCTGTGGATTAAAAGAGACGCAAAGACGTGTGAGATTTTTTAAATGGACGGGATTCAACTATAGGATCTAAGGGTGCATCTTTGAGTAATAAAACTTGGAAGAGGAGGAGGGAAGTGATTACTCTAGAAATGCCAGGATAACATGCTATTTTGGGGGGAAGGAAGGGGTTGCTTTTAGGATGGGTGCGTGAAGGGGCTCTGGATTGGCAAAGTTGTACTTCTTGACCTGGCTGGGGTTGACAGCGGTGTTTGCCCTTTATTAACCCGTGGAGCCATATATTTGATCAGTTTTTGGCTTTCTTATCACAGTTTTATTTTCCAATAAAAAGTAAAAAAAAAAAAAGAAAAGAAAAGAGCATATGCTAATCACCACGTCGATGTGTTCCTGTGAGGGTGAAGTGAAATAAAGTATGAATCAGGCTGGATCTGACTCATTTCTGTGTCCCAGACACAGGACCTCGCTCAGAGTAGAAGCCGAATAAATAAACAGGAACTATTATTAGGGGTGTGTTTACACATTCTCAGTGTAGTAGCTACTGTTGATTGAGCAGGAATTTCTCAAAATGATCCTGCATAGCACTCGAATCAGAACCACCTGAGATGCTGGTTAAAAATGCAGATTCACGGACCACACTCCAGATCGGCTGAATCAGAATCTCTGAAGCGGTGGGGGGGGGTCGGGACCCTCAGTCCACATTTTTTTCACAAGCTCCCCAGGTGATCCTGGTGCAAACAAAAGTGTGATAACGTTTGGAATAGACTCATTCACAGTCAGAGGTAGAATTTATAGCATTTAAACAAGTTTGTGATATTCTTGTGGACTTATTAAAATAGCAAAAACTTATCGAAAAGGTTAAAACCCAGAGCTGGCACTGCTGTTGGCTGATAAGCCAATCGGGAAAAAGACACGCTAATGTTTGTTGAGTTTTTAGTGTGTATCAGGCTCTGTGCTATGCACTTAACAATCATTGATGCAGTTAATTGTGAGAGGCGCCTGGCTTTACCTGCCACCTTCCCTCTGAGACCCCACCGTGACAGTCCTGCATCTTCCATTGCCACAGGTGGAATCACTCACCACAGAGTTGTCAGCTGAGCGCAGTTTCTCAGCCAAGGCAGAGAGCGGGCGGCAGCAGCTGGAGCGGCAGATCCAGGAGCTCCGGGCACGCCTGGGTGAGGAGGACGCAGGGGCCCGGGCCCGCCAGAAGATGGTCATCGCCGCCCTTGAGTCTAAATTAGCCCAGGCTGAGGAGCAGCTGGAGCAGGAGAGCAGGTAGGTGGGAGGGGAGGGCACGGCTGGAGGGCAGCGCCACATTCTGGTCAGTGAGATGAAGGGGAGCTGTGTGACAAGCATCCAAAAGACATCAACATATTAATGGTTCCTGATTTCTTATATCATTTAGGATGCTTTGGGCTCCAAGTAATTGCACTCCCACTAAGAGTATGATTTAAACAGTAATGTAGCAGTTAGCTATAGCTGCGTAACAAACCACCCTACAATTTAGTGGCTTAAAACAACAACCGTTTATTATTGCTCATGAGTATTTGGCTGGCTGGTGGGTTCTGCTGATCTGTGCTCGGTGGGCCTCACTCATGCATCTTTGCTCGGCTGAGAGTCAGCTAGATGGATTTGCTGATCTTGCTGGGCTCACATATGTCTAAGGCCTTGCCTGGGACAACTTGGCTAACTTGTCTCTGCTCCAGGCTGGCCCAGGATTGTTCATGTTGCAAGAGTGAGGGAAAGTATTGAAGGCTTCTTGGGGCCTAGTCTTGGAACTGGGACAACGTCACTTCTGCCACATCCTGTTACTAAAGCAAGTCATGTGGCCAGCTCAGATGTAAGGGAATGGAGAAATAGATTCTGCCTCTTGAGAGAAGCAGCTGCAAAGTCATATTGCAAAGGGTGTGGATACAGGAAGGGGTGAGAATTGAGGCCATTTGTGTCATCACTCTATCACAAAGAATTTCTTTTTCTCATGTGATAAGAAGTCTGGAGCTGGGCAGCTGAAAGACAGAAGGGCTCTGAGTCAGCATCTGTATAGTTCCCTTGGTCTTTCCCTCATGGTCACAAAATGGCTGCCCTTGTGCCAAACATCACACTCATACATCCATGTTCAAAGCCAGGAAGCAGCAGCAGTGTGGGGCTGAGATCGTTTCCATCTCCAGTCTCTGGAATAACCAAGAATACCCCTCAATATTCCCAATTAAGAACCACTGTGCTAATAAAACTAACAGAATATTTATTACTAAGCCTAATAAAAGTGCCGCTCTGCCAATACAATAGATTTTCTACAGCTCAATACTATTCAGTAATAATAATAATAGTTCCCACTTATTGAGGACTCACTATATGTCAGGTGCTGGACTGCTTGTATATACATGTATGATATCACATAATCCTTGTGAGAGAAGGACCATTGTTATCCCTATTTTATATATAGGAAAACTTAGGCAAAGAGAGGCTATAAATCTAGGATGCCTGACCCGTAATTCAGTGTCTCTACCATTGTCTGGTGGAGAAGAGTGTTGTTTTATACCAAAAGATACATAAGGTTCTCTTTTACATTTATTCATTCAACAAACGTGTATTAAGAGTATACTGCTTACCCGCCCATGCCTGGGAACTGGGGAGATGATGAAGAATGAGACATACCCAGTTCCTGCCCCCACGGAGGTCACGGTCTAGTGGGATTTCCCACCCGAGCTTGACTCAGGAGTTACCTTTATCGCTGAGTCTCTGCACATCCCTCCTTTCAGGCTGACCCCATTAGGAGGAAGACCTGTGAGCCAGATGTGGTGACAAAGGGGAGATCCTATGAACTACAAGGGCTGGGGGGACATTGTTGAAAGGGAAGCTGGATTGGCCTGAGATGGGGGGGTTTGGGAAGGGTTCCTGAAGGAGGAGGCATGTGAGCTGAGCCCAACAGGAATGAGATGATTTCCAGGGCACAGAGTCCCGGGCAGAGCAGCAGCCTCAGGGGAACGGCCAGGAGACATAGCGGCATTTGGAGGAATCTGATTGGTCCTAGGAGTCTGCCATTCAGGAGAGGGATGAAGGAGGCAAGAGCCTCGAATGCTGGGCTGAGGAACTCTGTCCTGGGGTGATGGGGAGCCACGGGGGGTTGTGAGCTGGGGAGTGGCAGGGCCAGTGCTGGGTGTAGTAAGACCCCTCTGGGACCAAGTTGGGAACAGACTAGAGGAGGGAGATGAAGCTGGGAGGCTGGTCCAGAAGAGATTGAACTGGGGGCTGATGGGCTGTCGGAGGTGTAGGGGGAAGAGGGCAGTTTGGGGTTAAGGCCTAGTGACTGGGGGAATGTTGGGGTTGGGGGAAGACGTTGAATTCATTGGGGAACATGATTGACAGTGAGAGGTCTCAGGGATGGGCAGAGGAACTGGCCCCAGAGGCTCATGGGAGAAGTAGTTCTCATCCAGGGGCTAGGGGCCCAGGGGCTCATGGGAAATGTAGTTTGAGGTCTCTGGGGATGCCTTCCAGAGGCTGATGGATACACAGGTCTGAGTTCCCTCCTCCCCCATTATACAGATGAAGAAACTGAGGCTCAGAGAGTGTTAATGACCTGCTCAAAGTCACCCTGGGAGCAAGGAGTGGCCAGCTGACCCATAGGTGAAGGAGTCTCCCCCCTGCATCCCTTTCCAGGGCTCGGTGCCCTCCCACTTCTCCCAGCCCTGTGCCTGCCTCTCAGCACATGTGGGGCGGCCTTGTCCAGTCGTGGCTGCCAAGCACTGCCCATCGCTGGGGACCCCATCACACGGACTTCACCCCGAGTGTGAGGCTCCATGCAGGGGCCACAGGGATGGGGAAATTTGGGAAACAGTAGGGAAGGGATTTGAGGGGAGAGAGGAGGTGAGGTGGCCCTGGTGTCTGACCTGCAGATCTAGGTGGATCGTGGGGAATTGGGGGGAGGAGTGGGTTGAGGAGAAGGCGCTGACCCAAGTGGGGACGTGAGGGGTGTGCGGGGTCTGGTGGACTGCCGAGGCCGGGGGCTGAACCAGCTGGAGCTCAGGAGACGGGTTTAGCAGACACCAGGCTGTTGACGGTCATGGAAACCCCGGGCACAGACGAGCTCGTCCAGGGAAGGCATGTGAGTGAGAAGAGAAGACAGCAAAGATGGTCGAGGATGGAGCTTTGGGCTTCCAGAGAGTTCCACAAACACAGACAGCCAGAGAAGGAAGTTGAGAGAGAAAGGACAGAGGGAGAAAGAAAATTCCAGGCCAGGGGGAGGGAAGGTCAGGTGGGAGAGGACGAGGCCTGAGCTGGGGGCCAGGGCTGTGAGGACAGAGAGGAGGGGACAAGACAGAGTTCAGGGGCAATGGGACAGGGTTTGTGAACTGACAGGCTGGGGGTGGGGCAAAGGAGAGAGAAGGGACGAGGACGGCTCCCAGTGGTCTGACCTGGGCACTGGTGGTCGGTGGGTCAGCTCCCTGAGAGAAAGAAGACTGGGGAGGAAATGCAGTTGGTGTGAGGGACCTAGTGGAACATGGAAAACGGGTGTAGACGTGGGGACACTTGTAGGAACATCAGGCATCTTAGTAGAAGCCAAAGACTAGACGCCCTGGAGTGGGGATCCTGGGTGCCAGTGTCTGGCCTGAGTAGACTGTGGGAGCTGCTGGACGAGGCCGAGGGGACAGAACCCCAGGTGAGAGCCTCTCCTGATTCTCCCCTTCACGCCTCTCTTCAGGGAGCGCATCCTCTCCGGCAAGCTGGTGCGCAGGGCTGAGAAGAGGCTTAAGGAGGTGGTGCTCCAGGTGGAGGAGGAGCGGAGGGCAGCTGACCAGCTCCGGGATCAGGTGAGCAGCCGACATCATTGAGGAGCATGGGAGGTGGGACCACCGACAGAGAAACAGCACCCGCCGTTTCTGGAGGTGGTGAGCTCCTGTCACAGGAGGCGATGTGTGGCTGCTGGACTAGAACTGAGTACAGACACCACCCCTGGGCTTGGCGCATTGTCCAGGAGCTGGAATCGGTGACTTTGTGATCCATAAATTCTGGAATCCAGGAAAGGCCCTGGTGGGGAGCTGAGAGAGCCAGTGAGAGGGAAGAAGTTAAACCCTACGCAGAAGCTCGGCCAGGGCTAAAATAACAACACATGGTGTCTGTTGAGTGCTTTCCATGTGCTAGCAACTGTGCTCAAGACATACCGTGTAGTACTTTTAATTCTTATCAGAATGCTGAGGTAGGTACTATCGTTTTCCCTCTTACTCAGGTGAGAAAACTGAGGCACAGACAGGTGAAGTTAACTTGCTCAAAATTATGTAGCTAGTCAGAGATGGAGCCAGGGGTCAGACCCCAGCACTCTGGCTGCAGAGTCTGTGCTGTTATTTATTGAGCACTTACTGTGTCCTAAGCACTGTTGTAACCTGCTTTTTAGAAAACAGATGCTTGCATTCTCTCACCAGCCCCATTTCACAAGTGAGGAAACAGAAACTTGAAAACTGTGCACCCAAGTCATGCAGTGAGTAGAGACAGAGCCTGAATCAGATCCCAGGTCTGTCTCAGTCTAGAGTCAGTGCCCTTAAAAGCTCAGCTGTGTTTTATTCGCCATTCATTCCACAGGCAATTATTGAGCACCCGCTGTGTGCCAGGCACTGTGCTAGGCACTGGAGATATGGCTGTGAATGAGACAGAGAAGGTCCCCGCTCTCTCAGAACTTGCATTTTTCAGCACAGGAAGAGAAAGGCACAATAAACCTACAAACAAGCAAAGATAATTACAGATTGTGACAGGGACTATGAAGAAAAAAAGAGAAGGAAGAGAGAAGATTAGGGGTGGGGGGTGTCAGGAAGACCCCTCTAAGGAGGTGACACTTGAATTGAGATCTGAAGGGTGAGGAAGAGCCAGGTAGAAGGAACAGCAGGTGCAAAGGCCCTGGGGTATGGAAATAAGCTTGTTGAGTTCAGAGCAAAAAGCAAACCAGTATGGCTAGAGAGAAGAATGGGGCGGGAGGTTGGATGATAAGAAATGAGGTCAGAGGGTTTGGTGGGAGGCAGATCACGTGTGTCCCCTCCGTGGAGACCGAAATGGCAGGGTCTGGGGAGAATCTCAGTGAAGATGGTCTGGTCAGTGGTTTTATGGGAAGAAGATGCTGCAGGGCCCAGAATACCAGGCCGAGGGGCTGGGACCTTGTCCCAGGGGCACTGGGTAGCCACAGGGGGTCGTCTTTGAGCATGGGAAGGATAGGGTCAGCCCTGGGCACAGAAGGACCCCTCTGAGGCCAAGTGGGAGGCAGCCTCACATTTGAGGCCAGGTTGGAGGCCGGCGAGAGGATCAAGGAGAACAGAACAAAGCATGGACAGAAGGCAGGGCCCGGGGCAGAGTCAGGGGCAGGAGGGATGGGGCAGTGGGAGCGGAGGGAGGGACCCAGAGACATGACCGGGGCCCCTGCTCCCGCCAAGGTGGAGAAGGGGAACCTTCGAGTGAAGCAGCTGAAGCGGCAGCTGGAGGAGGCCGAGGAGGAGGCGTCGCGGGCCCAGACGGTCCGCCGGAGGCTGCAGCATGAGCTGGAGGATGTCACGGAGGCCTCGGAGTCCATGAACCGCGAGTTGAACACGCTGAGGAACCGGCTCCGGTATGGCCCCCCGCGCATGCGCAGGCTCGCTCCATAGAGCCCTGCCCCCCATCTGTCTCTGTTCCTCTGTCCCCTCCATCGCTCCGCCCCCCTCCCCATCCCCCTGCCTCTCAGTTTCCCCTCTGGCTCGCCTCATTGAATCTCCGCCCTGCTCTCTCCTCGCAGACGCGCGCCCCTCACCTTCACCACGCGCACGGTGCGCCAGGTCTTCCGCCTGGAGGAGGGCGTGGCATCGGACGAGGAGGCCCAGGAGGCAGAGCCGGGGTCTGGGCCGCCGCCCCCGGAGCCCGAGAGGCCGCCCGCCGCCCAGCCGCAGTGACCACACCCCCTTGCCCCCGACGCCCGCCCCTCCCTCCCCGGCCCACAAGCCCGCCCTGGGGCTCCCCACACTCTGGAAACGGTGCCGCCCTCTGGCACTGCCGCACTTATCAACCCCACCCCCGGGGGGCCCCCTGAGACCTCCCGCGAACCCCTAAACACACAGGAGAGGGGGAGCGGGGAGGCAAGAACTGGGGAGGAAATTGGGGTGTAGTGGCAAGCCGTGGTTCCATCCAGCTTGCCACCCTTCCAGTTGTTAATGGTCTTTATTAGGAAGGGAGTATGGCTCCCCTGCCCTCCTCAGCGGGGTCTGCCCCTTCCCCACCCTCTTCCCCGCCCTCTCCGTGTCTCTCTCCACTTAGCTCCGAACTTCTGAGCGCCAGCGGCCTGAGCCCCAGGCCTCGGCCAGCGCTTGACCCTTGCAGAGGGGCGGGACAAGGGGCCCCTCTCATCCCCCTCTCCCCCCATGCTCTGCCCTCCCTTCTGGTTGCTCTTGTGTGATCACGGTTCGTTGGAGTTGCCCACGGCGGCTGGAGGAGGCCCCCAGACCCTCCCAGCCTCCAGGCTCTGGCAGAAATAAACTCCATCCCCGACTGGACCCCGGGGGCTGTGTGTGTTCCTGCAGGGGGGCTCTCTGATGTGCCGGATGGGCACGGGCTTCTCCAGCCTAGTGGGGCGGCAGGCGGGGCGGTCCGCGCGTGCTAATCACAGCTGGCCAGTGTCGGGGGACCTCCTGTGTACCTGGCCTTCAGTGTGAAAGAACTCATTTCCCCCTCTCACAGCCTCCCTCCAAGGTGTCCCCTCCATTATACAGATGGGGAAACTGCGGCTCAGAGCTGCGAAGTCCTGTGCTCCAAGCCTCCCAGTTAGTGTGGCAGAAGGGCTGCTGCACTCTGGCTGACCCTCAGGTCTTTCCAAAACAATGACGATAGTGACCACAGCCATTTGTTGAGTAATGACCATTTATTCAGCTGTGCTAAATGCGGGTTGTTCGGCTCAATCCTCAGCGCAGCCCCTAGAAGTAGGGATTTCATTGCTTTCTGGCACCTAGAGCAGTGCCTGGCTCCTAGTTGGCATTCCTATATTTGGTGAATGAAGAGATCACCCCTCCCGCCCTTTTAGAGGGGTGGCAACAAGCCCAGAGAGGGTGAGACACTAGCCCAAGGACACACAGCTACTAAGAAGTTGAGGGCCGGCCCCGTGGCTTAGCGGTTAAGTGTGCGCGCTCCGCTGCTGGCGGCCCGGGTTCGGATCCTGGGCGCGCACGGACGCACTGCTTCTCTGGCCATGCTGAGGCCGCGTCCCACATACAGCAACTAGAAGGCTGTGCAACTATGACATACAACTATCTACTGGGGCTTTGGGGAAAATAAATAAATAAATAAATACAATTATTTAAAGAAAAAAAGTTGAACCCACGCAGTCTGGCTTCAGAGTTGGTAATATGAGCCACACTGGGGACCCAGGTCCACACCTTTCCTGGGGACTAGTCACCCTCACCTAGGAGCTCACATTACCCAGGTGCCCCCACAGACTTTCCGGTTAGGAATGTGGATCCCCATTTTTACCATCAGGGAAACTGAGGCAGGCATTTGCCATGCCCCCCAAAAGAACGTGAGAACTGGTGATCAAAGGGATGTCCTGCCCCCCCCAAAGTGCACACCTTTACCACTTTAATGCAACCCCTGCTCCTGAAGATCCAACTCCCAAAGCCTTCCCAGCCCTCATCCGGAGACCTTGCCAGCAAGCAAACAGGAGGCAACTTTTAAATGAAAAGGAAACTTTTATTTTGGTGGGGAGTAAGAGGGTGGGTGGGAAGGGGGCATGACACTTTTTCTCTGGGGAGCGGGGGTGACATGCGGCAGCTTCTGCATTGGGCGGTTCATGCACCTAGGGTGGGCGTGGGGGAAACTTGGGGGAGGGGCCTGCCGACCCCTCCCTCCCTGCCCTGGGGGTGGGCTGAGAAGACCCGCCATTAGCACCAGAGTTGGACGATTTGCAGACCTCTCCTCCCCAGACTGACTCCGGACACCCGCCCCCGTCCCTGAGAGCGCCCCCTTGCCACTCCTCCCCCCGCCCCCACATCCACAGGCTAGGCCCGCCCCGCCCACGTTTGAGTGAGAGAAACTTATTGCTGTGTGTGTTGGGGAGGGGGAGCCGCTGAGCTCAGGAAGACCCCCGCCATTCATTCCTCCCCAATCGCCCCGCCCTCGCCCCGTGTCCGTGCGTTCTCGGGGCGCAGGAGGGGCGCGACATGCGTGTGGGGATCGCGTCATGCAGCGCATGCGTGTAGTTGCAGGCACCCTGGCGGCCGGGGGGAAAAGGGGAGCGGGACTTTGATGCTGTCCCTTTATTCCTCTCTCTCCCTCCCCGAATCCCACACTTGTTTGTTGACTTGCGGGGGGATCACGTTTTGGAGGGGTTTATAATGATGGTGGTTATTTTTAAAAGCTGAACTAAAAAGCTGGGTACGTGTGGCAGATTGGCGAGCAGCGGGGAGACTTTGGGAAGAGGTCCGTACCCTTTGGAAAAGATCCTCACCCCCTTTCCCCGCACCGTTCGGCATCCGTGAGGGTCAGGGGAGTCTGGGGGCTTTTTAAAGAAGTTAAACCCTTTGGCAATATAATCAGTCCCCACCCCCATACCCTGGTGTCTGGAGCCCCTAGCCCTTTGCCCCACCCCACCCTATCCCACCAGAACCCGCCCCACCCCTTACCCCTGATTCAACAGGGTTTAGGGTCCGATGGAAGGATGGGGGGACTCAAAAATGCCCCTTGCATAGGAATCGTTGCATCAAGAATCGTGCTCAGTGACACCCCCCACCCCCAACCCTCGGGTCGGGGGTGGAGAGGTTCCTGAAGCCGTGGGAGCAGAGGGAGGGAGGCTGCTAATTCCTTGGGCCCCCAGCTCCAAAAGGGGAGGGTCCTCTAAGGATTCTGGGACCGGTGTGGTCTCTGGGCTTGGGGGAGGTAGCGCATCCTTGAGCCAGGATGGGATGAGAAACGATTTTCCACCCGCGAGCGTGGCGGGGCGAGGGACGCCGGGGAAGGGCGGGCTGGGATCGCAGCCCGGGTGGGTACGTCGTTTCCCAAGCTTCTGAGTTTCCAGTGTCCCTCCCTTCGGGCACACCCTCTACTTTAAATGGAAACACTTCTAGCCTAAATAAATAGTGCCCTGGCCAAGTAGCATATCCGGACTTACCCGCTTCTGTGCAAAATGCCGCCATCAAAACTTTAAAAATAAGTGTTTGTCCTCGCTCTGCCTAAAAACGTAGCAGATCACCAGGCGTACAAATAGGACCCTCTGGGAAACACTGGTGTCCACGAAGAGGGTCCCTTTGGGGCACCATTTAAGGGAAGCGGCTTTTGGGGGAGGCAGGGTTCGGCATAAGAAAGGGGGTGCCCCGGGAAGGTCTGGTTCCCTGGAATTACAGACAGGTTGAGCCTATCTTGGAAATTCTAGCATCAAGGGAACCTGACGTGGATGTCTGATGTCAGAGAGTTGGGGGTGCCTGGGGGTTGGGGGGGCAGGCCTGAGGATTTGGGGTGTCCAGGAAATGTCCGAGTGCGGGAAAAATTCGGAGCATCCCTAAGGCTGAAAGTGAGCTGAAGGTCTGGGTCGAGTGCAAGTTTGAGATGCTGGGATGCTGTCCGGAGAATGCGTGGGCGTGGGGCTGGGGGCAGCATCTGTGTGCAGAGGTTCAGTCCCAGGAGCCTGTGGGACTTTGGGGGATGCGAGGTGCCAAGGTGAGTCTCGGCAATTCTGGGCGCAGGTCTCACGTCCCGGGAATCTGGAGCGGTGTCGGGGAATTTTGTGTGCTAGGGCCGGTTCACCCCAGGAATTCTGAGCTGGGAGGTCTGAGCCCGTGCAGCAAAAAGAGAGGCGAGCAGATCCCTGGGGGGGGGGAGGGGGTGGTGGAATGAAAGGGTGAAATTCACCAGAGGGAGCCTCCTAAAGGCTGGGGAGCAGCTGTCCGCAGCCCAGCCCCCATGCCTCCACTTCTGCGATCTGAGCTCAGCCCTGGTTTTTGGCTTTCAATGAATGTTCCTCCTTCCCCCACACTGTTGCTAATTTTTTTTTTTTAATCAGTGCATGATGGGTTCCCTTCCTGGGGCGAAGCGTAGGAGGCGAGGAGACCCTCCTGTGGCTTCAAGGCCAGCCCGACCCCCTTGAGGTCCCCGCCCCCTTCCCAGAGTGTCCCTTCCCTCGAACGCGTGGCATGCAACCTTTGGCGGCTTATTGCTGAGGTGGAGTTGGAAGGGGGGGGTCCGGGTTGGGGGAGGCATGCAGAGTAGGGAGGAGGCGCCCCAAAATGTAATTGGCCTAATTTGGACGTATTTACACGAGTGGATGGCAGGGGGGTGTCCTATGGCTCATGGAGACCTGAGAAGGCTTTATTTTTTGGGGGGGCGGAGAGTTGGAGGGGAGGGGATTTGGCTCCTTCCCCCTCCATCCTGGGGGCCCAGGTTGGGGGTGAGGGGCCCGGGGGTGTCTGCTGGCGTCGTCGTCTCGGTTGCATATTATTAATGACTTTTGATTTTTTTAAAAAAAACCCTTTCCCCCACCCCCCACCCCCAGCTCCTTTGACCTTCTTCCTTTTCACCCCCGAGTCCCCCCACGGGGGGGAGGGGAGCGCTAGAGGATGGAGGGCAGGGTTGGGGGAGCGCGGCGGGCGGCCCTGGGAGAGCCAGGGGGAGTGGCAAGGGGTGCGAGGCGCAGGGACACCCCGCTGAGGCCCGCGATGCTGCTCAGGCTGCGGGATTTCTCGTAACCTGGGGGGGGGGGCGGAAACACGGGGAGGGAGCATGGAGATGGGGGTGCAGGGGGAGGGTCCAACAGACAGAGAGACCCCCAGACAGAGGCAGGAGAGAAACAGAGGATATGAGACGGAGAGAGACAGACAGACAGACAGAGAAGGCGGGAGAGAGCAAGAGATACCCGGAGAGAAGGCGAGGGAGACAGAGAGACAGACACCAAGACACAAAAGACAGATGGCAAGAGGCCGAGAGAAGGACAGAGGCGGACCAAGGAGATGGAGAGAGAGAGATGAACAGATCGACAGTCAGTCGGCATCGGCATCGAGGAGAGAGGTTCAGACATGGGGAGGGGGGAGAGATTCAGGGTTAGGAGGCAGGATGGCACCGCCCAGCCTCCCCCTCCCCCTCCCCACCACAGCCCGCCCCCCACTCCCTCCCCCCGTTGGCCCCCTCATCTGAGGCAGAAAGGAGGGGCAGCAAGGCGAATGGTGCCAGCCGGGCATGGGCATGGGGGGGCGCTCGGTGGAATGCATGTGGGGGAGCAGCGGGGGGGGGCTCGGGAGGGAACGCCGGGCCGCGGGGGGAGGGGCTGACCTAGATGTCGAAAAAAGAGGAAAGCAGGTGGGGGGCTGTGAGGGGCTGGATGGAGCAAAGTTGGCAGTGCCCCCCGGGGGCCAGAGGATAACTCCAAGAGCGGTGTGAGAGCCAGGCTCACCTGAGGTTGTAAAGGAGCATCTTTAAAGGGTCAAGAAGCCTTTAAACGGGAACCTTCTGATGGGGAGGTTCTAACGTGTCTTGAGACCCAAAGGGATCCAAGATCGAGGGGCACGTGTGTGGTTTCTGGAAAGCTTGGGCATGTCTTAAGAGTTCTGCCAGCCTGGGGGGGGTGGGGGGGAACTTGTAGGACTTTTCTAGACTATGCCCAGGGGTCTGTCTGGATGAGGGCCTGGGGGGTTTGGAAGCCCAGTATCGTGGGGATACCCCCTCCCAGCCATTCCCAAATGCTAACCTGGGGGGAAGGGGCAGGGGGGGACCGAGGGTCTCGCGAGGTCTCAGGCGGTGACAAGAGCTGGGGACAGAAATACACAGAGTCACGGCGGGGGGAGGGCGGTCAGGGGGCACCCCCCAACACAGCCTCACGGTTGGGGGGACGGAGAAACGCCGGGATCTCTTCCTCCTCTCTGGTGTTTTCCGGGGGGAGGGGAGCAGTGAAATGGGGGCGGCCAGAGACATCAAATATGGGAGGAGCTTCCGGGGTGGCTGGGGGAGGGCCAAAGGAAGGGAGGAGGGAGAGGGCTGGGGAGGAAGGGGGGACAGGTGTCAGGTGTTGGACTCAGGTGGCTGGTGAGGGAAGATGGAGAAGGGAGGGGTCAGCGGGTGGGTGGGGGACAGGCCAGGAGGAAGGGTCTCAGTGACACCGAGGATGAAAGGGTTCAAGTTTCTCTGGATTAGGATGCAACACTGTCCCCACAAGGCTAACAATGGGAAACAATGTAACCAAAGTTTCTGAGCTGGCCTTGCAGAACAGATAAGGACCACTGATAAGAGAGTAGCTTGCCGACAGCCCTCAGCATCACGCGGGGGCATTGAGAAACTACAGTGACCGACTGTAAGCTTTACACATCACAGACTTAAGATCCACTGCATGCAACACACAGAACCCCCCGAATTTGCACATGCGCCCCATGAATAAACACGATAGGCAGTCGCCACTGCGCAGAGGACTCTTAGAACCTCAGCCCCCAAGGCCACATGCTCCCTCCCCATCTTATTCTCACAATATGCTTTGGAAAAACACTCAGAACTGCACATAGGCAAGCCAATCTGTAACTGGTAGAAAGAATAACTTGTTAGCAGAAAATTTACGTCCTTTGCCCACAGTGTTCCTCTGTCCCAGATGAGGAAGTGACTGAGGTTTTCTTAGATTCCTCAGGAACGTGGCATTCAGCAGATCTGCTATGGAGAAGCACTCAAGGTTCTGCCGTTGTCCATCACCTGACACTCCTGAGCCCCCTCCCCAACCCCGTTTGCCTTATATAAGTCATGTCCAAATCAGTTCCCCTTTAAGATGGGGTTTTTTAAGACGATAGTCCGCCATCTTCCGATTTCCTAGCTTATCGCTTATTAAAGTTCTTTGTCTACCACTGCCTGCTCGGCCTTTTATCTTGCTGCGAGCAGATGGAACAGGCTCGGTGTCATTGGGAGGAGGTGAGGGGACAATGGTGGAGGGTGGGTCATGGAGGAAGAATGATAGAGAGGAAGGGAGGACTAGAGGTGGGAGGAGGCGGGGAGGGGTCCAGGACCTTGGGGCAGAGAATTCAGTCAGCCCCATCAGCTCCAGCCACTATTTGAGTTCAATGAATGGATTTTGGCATCAGAGGCAAGAGAAGCAGAGACCACCCCCACTCCTCCCTCACCCACATTCCCAAATCCTCCCCACTCCCTCTGCCCCCCAACTCCAGCAGGGCCCATCCAGACCCGGGGGTGGGGACAGAGGGTGGTAACAGGGCTAGGTGCAAGCCGGGGAGGGGTGAGTGGGAGCAGGGAGAGGACGTGGTAATGAGATGAGAATGAAGGATGATGTGGGGGGTGGTTGCAACAAAAGAGAGATGGAGAGACGGAACAAGAGCCAGACAGTCCCCTCTGCACTAGAAGCCGAAAAGGGTTTTCATCCCCATCTGCTCTGTGGCCTGGGGTTAGTTATGACCCTCCCTGAACTTCTGTGAAACAAGGGAGTTTAGACAAGGCTGTCCCTGGAGGCTCCCCAAGTCCCGCTATGGCATCTCCTTAGGCTGCAGGCAGAGATTCTTTAGGATCTGTATTTCTAAGGAAGATTCCACAGATGTTTGTTGAATGAATAAGCAATAGATAAATTCCTTCATGTAGCTTCCCATCACTTTTAAGATAAAACCCAGCCTCTTAGCACACCCCAAAATCCCATCATGATTCTTCCCCCAGATTCTGCCTGGCACCCCTCTCCCCTGGCCACTAGGCTCAGCCACACTTCCCTCCTTGCTATTCCTTTCACAAACCAAGCTCCTCCCACCTCAGTACCTCAGTGCCTTTGCACTTGCTGTTCCTTCTGCCTGGCTGGCCCTTTTTACCTTTCAGGCTTGACGTCACCTTCTCAAAAAAGCCCTCACCAACCCCCTTATCTGAAGTGGCCAGTGTAATTATCTCGTTCTTTTTTTTTTTTTTAACTTGTTTATCTTCTGCTTCCTCCAATCAGGGGGCAGCAAACTTCTCCTGTAAAGGGCCAGATAGTAAATATCTTTGGCTCTGTGGGCCACACCATCTCTGTTGCAACTCTCCCACTCTACTGTTGTAGCGTGATGGCGGCTGTGTTCCAATATAGCTTTATTTACAAACCGGCCGGCTGACAGACTTGGCCCATGGGCTGTAATGCTGACCAATGCTCTCCAGTCTAACTGTGTGATGGCAGATTCCTGCTGTGGGCACTGCCAAACCTCCAGTGCCTGGAACTGTGCCCTCAATAATTAGCTGCTGAATGAAGGAATGAATGAATGGAACTAGGGATCAGCTAGGGTTCTTGTGAGGACTATATAGGAGAATATATGTTAAATTCCTGGCACGTGTTAAGTGCTTGGTATGTTTGCTGAATGATTCGTCTCCTAACCATCTCTTCACTCTGTCCCCCTCACCTCCCCCTGGCCAGTCCCCAGCCCTGTCCCTCCTGAGCCTTGACCCTTGACCCCCAACTCTCTCTGCCTCGTCCCTTCCTCTCTGTCCCCACAGCCCTGACCCGGGCCCAGGCCTCGTCCTCTCCCCCTCAACCCTCGTCCCAGCCTCCTGACCCCCAGTTTCCCAGCTCCAGTCCATCCCCACAGGGCCCCAGAGCTGACCTCCGTCCCCAGGCCCCTGAACAAGGTCCCCTCAGCCCGGACTTGCTTCCCTGCCTCCCGTCTGTCGACCAGTCCCCATCTCCCCGGCCTTGCTTTTGCTGCTGTCTCTCTGGTTACTACTGTCTAATGGGGTCACTCCCTTGCTTGAGGTCCAGATGACTCTAGACATCAGTTCCCTCAGGAAGCCGTTCCTGCCCCTCCCTCCCACCCCGGCAGTGGTGCGCGTTCCTCTTACTGCGCGTCCCTGTGCTGCCTCCGTTTCACCGTATATCGCCTCAAACAGCGACTTTCTAGGTCTCTGTCCCACCAAACTGGTACCTCGAGGGGGTCTATTTTGTTCACTGTTGAACCCCGTGCTGAGTACCACGCAGGGACGTGTGGGCGCTTTATAAGCTGGCCGGTTCACAAGGGACTGGCTGGGTGACTGAGTCTTTCTCATCCTGGCGTACACCCAGAAAGGGGTCCTGGGTGTGCACCCCGTTCTCTTGATAGGATGAAAAAGCCCCAGGGGGGAGGCAGGGAGAGAGATGTGGATGGGGGTGAGGATGGGGTCAGTCATGGCAGGGGGGAAGATCAGGCACGCGGTTAGTTCTAGTGGGTTAGTGAGGGGCAGGGCAAGTCCCGGGCAGAGGGGTGTGGGTCAGTGTCGGGGCTGGGGGTTAACTGGATGGAGGTGTTGACAGTGAGGGGGCAGGAGTCTCGGTCAGTGAGGGCTGCGTGTGCTTGGAGGAGTTAGTCAGGAGGGAGGGGGGGATCAGAGGGTGGGGGCTACTTACCCCGGGGGGAGGGGGTTCGTCCACTAGGGGGATATCCAGGCCGCAGCGTTGGCGTTGAGGTCGGGCAAGAAGCTTGGGGGGCCTGGCTTACGCCAGTATCGGGGGGGCAGTGGGGGAGCACCGGTGGCTGGGGGTAGGGGAAGAGGCCAGAGGGTCCGGGGTGGGGTGGGGGGAAATGAAGATGGAATAAAGACAGGCGAAGGGTCAGTGGTGAGGAAACTTGGGGGGGGGGGCCTCTGGGAGGAAGGGAATTTGGGGCCAGGGGATGGGGGAAGGGAAGTCCAGCACCTCCTCCCCCATCCCCCTCTCTCCCCCTCCCCCAGGGGAAGGGGAGAGAGGGAGGGCCCCAGGGGGCCCGTGGAGGGCACCTCACCTTTCCGGATGGAGCCATCAGGGGAAGGGGCATAGTCGGTGAGGAGGAAGCAGGCTCGGTCGCGGCTGTAGCGGCCCCGGCTCCCGGGGGTGATGGGGCTCTTGTCTTCCGGGGACATGGCGGGCTGGTCGATGGCCGGGCAGTCCTCGTGGGCAAGCGCGGCTGCTGCTGGGTCGCCGTTGGGGCGGGGATCTGCGTCCCCAGGGTCAGACAGAGACACAAAGGAGAGAGTGAGGTGTGGGAACTCCCGGTGGGGGCGAAAGCAGCAAGGAGAGGGTGCTGGAGGACCTGGGTGCTGGAAGGAGATGACTGAAGGGCAGGTGTGGGGAGGGGGTGACGGGAGGGCCACAGCTGGGAGCAGGGTGTTAGGGGGCATGGCTGGAGGGTTGGGGGGCAGGTCACTGGGGGAGGGTGTTGAGTGTTGGGCAGGACTACAGGGTAGGGAAGTGTGGTCAGGGGTGGTGTTGGATGAAGGTGGGTAGAGGGAGGGCGTTGAGTGCCCGGAAGTGGTGGTTGGGCCGGTGTTGGGTGCTAGGAAGGGCGGGACTGGGTAGGGTGTTGGGGTGCTAGGGTGCATGGATTGGGGTAGGTTTGGAGACGGGGCTGGGGGAGTGTAGGGGCTGGGAGGTGGCTGTTTAAGGAAGGGGTGTTGGGCGCTGGAAAGGACACAGTGAGGAAGGGCTGGGAAGGTGACAGATGGGGGGGGGGGTCCCCCAGGCTCTGACTCGAGCTATTTTTAATTGGAGTGAAACTGGGTCAGCGGCTGAGGGAGCAAGATGGGGGGCAGGAGGCCCCGCTCCCTTTCTTGACCTACTTAAGTCCTGGGGGTGGGGGTGGGGCCCACCGGGGGTGGGGCCCACCCGCCTCTCCCTCCTCCTGGACGGACACCCCACTGCTGCATCTGAGACACAGGCCCCCTAGGGGACAGACACGCACAGGCAGTCAACTCCCTTCTCCCCTCCACTTCACCTGTTCCTCCTGGCGACCTCTCTCAGACCCTCTCAGCCTCTCCCCTGCAGAGCCAGAGACGGGGCCCTGGGTTCCTCGTCACCCTCCTGTCACGTGGCCGCTCTGCCCTCTGGGCCTCTCTCCAACTCCTAGTTTTTAAGTCTTGTCTCCTTTCTTGGCCTCACCCTTATTAGAACCTGAACTCTCTGCCGCCGACCCCCCCCCACCCCACCCTCCATCTCTGTCCTCTCTCTTTCTCTTCTCAGTGACAATCTCTTGGTTTCAGACTCTGTCGCCTTCAGACTCTCTCTTCTCACGGTCCTCTCTGGGAGACTCAGATGCTGCAGTCGCCCCCTGGCCTGTGTCTTGGCCAGCCCGTGGTTCACATGTGCGACCCTCTCTCCCTGTGTGTCTCTCTCTGAGCCCCTCTTTCTCTGAGTCTCTCTCACTGTACGGCTGATTCCTCTGCCTCCTTGGTCCCCCTGAATCCCTCGGCTCCAAGTCTGTCTCTTCCAAAACCTGTCTCTCTCACACAAAATCTCTGTCTCTCTGTCATCGTCTACTTCTATGATTCTTCATTGGCCTCGGCGACAGCTGTTTGCTTTTCTCTCCCCTGTTGCTGACTGCGCCGTCTCTCTGAACCTCAGCAACAACCTCCCGCCCCCCGCAAACCTCCCCGCCGCCTCCCATGAGTCTCTGCCTCGGCTCCCTTCCGCCCCTCGCGCCCCCTCCTCACCTGCTCGGTTGATCTCAATCACTTCCTCCTGAGCCAACGGGCACGGCTCCCCAGGGGCCGGCAGAGGAGGCAGCCCCATGATCCCGAGCCCACCCGCTCCCCCCCTGAGCAGCCCCGGGTGCGTGTGGGGCCCCGGCGGGTAGGCCCCGGCCACAGTCACCCCCATGGAGGGCGGGGTGATGGGTGGTGGGGGGCTGATGCCGCCGCTGCCGTGGTGAGGGTGGGGTGGGGGCGGCGGGGGCGGGTCGGGCTTGCAGTAGTTGGGCGAGCCAGGCTGCGGGGGCCGGGGGATGTGTTTGTTCTTCTTCTTGGGCAGCTTCTGTTTGGCCATGGCCAGCGAATAGTACATGCCAAAGTTGTTGACAATCACGGGCACGGGCATGGCGATGGTCAGTACCCCAGCCAGCGCACACAGCGCCCCCACCAGCATGCCCGACCACGTCTTGGGATACATGTCTCCATAGCCAAGGGTCGTCATGGTGACCACGGCCCACCAGAAGCCGATGGGGATGTTCTTGAAGTAGGTATGGTTGGAGCCCAGGATGTCATTGGGGTCGGCGCCAATGCGCTCGGCGTAGTAGATCATGGTGGCAAAGATGAGCACGCCCAGCGCCAGGAAGATGATGAGCAGCAAGAACTCATTGGTGCTAGCGCGAAGCGTGTGGCCCAGCACACGCAGCCCCACAAAGTGGCGCGTGAGCTTGAAGATGCGCAGGATTCGGACGAAGCGGACGACCCGCAGGAAGCCCAGCACGTCTTTGGCGGCCTTGGAGCTGAGGCCCGAGAGGCCCACCTCGAGATAGAAGGGCAGGATGGCCACGCAGTCGATGATGTTGAGGCTGCTCTTGAGAAATTCCACCTTGTCCGGGCAGAAGGTGATGCGCATGAGGAACTCGAAGGTGAACCAGACCACGCACACGCCCTCCACGTAGGTCAGGAAGGGCTCCGTCTCCACCTCCACGTTGGTGATGTTCTCCGGCGGAGCCCCAGGGATCGGGGAGGCCTGCGTCACCGTCTTGTTGCTGATGTGGATGAAGCCCTCGTGGGTCTCCAGGCAGAAGGTGGTGATGGAGATGAGGATGAAGAAGAGGGAGGCAAAGGCCACATACTGCGGGGCAGGGCGGGAGAGAGAGGGCAAAAGGTGACCGAGGCATCTGGTCGACTGGCCGTCTCCACAAGACCCTCCCAGTGGCCACTCTCCCAGCCCCAAACTCCAGGGGAATGTGGGTGTCCCAACGCCGTGCTTTCATCACCTCCCGCATCCGTTCTCCCATCTAAAGCTCACAAAAGGGGAGGGAAAGGATCAGAAGCAGCTCTCCCTCAGCTCGGCAGAGGAGCTGGCCCCAGCAGCGGCAGCAGATGGCCAATTTCTCTCCTGGAAACAGCAATTTCTGGCCTGTTGCTCTGTCTCCTACACCACCTCCCCTCACCCTCCTGTTCCCTGTGTCCTATCTCTGGGTTCCCGGGCTGGGTCCAAGGGTTCTGCTATGGGATGGGCGGTGGGGAGACTAAGATCACACACCCTGTGTCTCAGAGGATTTGGAGCTCGGCTCAGAGCTGAGGGAAAGGGAAGGGGAGAAGGTGGGCGGGGAGGCAGAATCCCGAGGTGGTGAAGAGTAAGAGAGCCTGGATCTGAATCTGGTTTTCCCCCTGCCTAACTTGGGCAGAGAGATTAAGCTTTCAGAACCTCAAGTTTTTTTACAGAATTATTGTGAGGATTAAATTAGATGAGTATACAAAGGATCTGGTTCCAAAAACAGTGCCTGGCCCAGTGTCTGGAACTCAATAAGAAGGTCCAAGCTCTTATTAGGATATGGGGGCATCTTAGTGGGGGGCAAGGTCAAGGCCTCAGAGAGGGGCCAGGGTTTAAGGACCTTGGTACCAATGGGTGGGCCCCAGAAAAGGGAGAAGGCTGGGTGAGGCCCCCAACCAGAGAGGACAGGGCAGGAGTGGAAGCACAGAGGGGAGGAGGGTGTTAGGGCCCTGAAGGAGGAAGGAAGTAAAGGGTCAAGACTGACTCTATAGGAAAACCTATAGAGATGAGGGGGCGTGGGGTTTAAGGGTCTTGGGGAAGAAGGGAGGGTCAGGGGGCCTGTATGTGGGGGAAGAGGGCAGGGCTAGGGCCAAAGAAAGGTGAGGGGGCTTGTCAGAGCTGCAGAGAATTGGGGGTGCAGGGGTGCCTGGGTCATTTCTGGGTGGGGAACAACCAGAGTCCTACTACACAATGGTGTGGGCTTTGACGAAAGCCTTGAGGAGGAGAAGGGGCGAGGTCAAGACCTTGGAGGAGGAAGGGGACTGATCAGGCAGGCCCCTAGAGATGATAGTGGGCTTTACCAAATACATGGAGGGCAGGAGAAAGAAGAGAGGTTAGTCCTTAGAAACGGAAAGGGATGTGTGTCAGGGCAAAGAGGGGGCTTTAATCAGATGGGTAGAGGAGGAGGGAGGGCCTGGGGTGCAGAGAAGAGAAGGGGCCCAGGGTCAGGCTGCAGAGAGTACTCTAGGCCCTGGGATGGGCTGGGGACCAGCACAGTCCCTCTCTACACTCCCTGTCCTCCACAGGGGTGGAGGGTGGGTCCTGGGCTTGACTTTAATCTGAGGCGCAGAACAGCGAGGCAGGGCAGAGTCCACTGCAGAGAGGACCCTGGACCTTGGGATGGGCCGAGGGTCAGCGCTGGCCCTCTCTGCCCCGCCCCCCTCTTGGTTTCTCCGCAGTGGTTTGAGGCCAAAGGCCGCTGCAGAGCGCATAGTCCGGGGCTCCCCCGCCCGCTAGGAGCGGGGCGCGAGGCGCAGGATGCGGCACCGCAGTGGGGGCGGGCCGGCCGGGCCGGGGGGCGGGGCGCGCGGCGGCCAGCACCGCGGACAGCTCCCCCGCCGCAGTGCGCAGCCGCAGCGGCTGAGAGCCGTCTTAACCCCTTCCCTGCTGGAGCCGAGCCCGCCGCGCGCAGCCGCAGCTTCACGGCCGGAGGCCGCGGGCCAGAAGCTTGATTAACTCCTTCCCTCCCAGGGCACAGGAGGGAACGTGGGCACCCGCCGCAGCGCGCAGCTGTAGAGGCTGGACAGCGTCGGGACTCATTTAACCCCTTGCCCCGAGATGGTTCAAAAGCAGAAGGGGTAGGAGGGCATGGAGTCCCTGTAAGAAGGAAAGGAGAGATTACAGGGAGGGGAGCGAGGGGGAAGTAGGGCTGGACCCTCCACGTTGCACTGGCCTCAGCTCCCAACTCTCTCAAGCTATCTCACTTGGAGGCTGGAAAGTGCTTGGCCCGCTGTGAACACTCAACAAACATTTGTGGAGTAAATGAGTGAACCCCGTAGCTGTCCAGACCCCTAGCCTCACCTCAGCACCCTTCAATGGGGTCACAAGAGGGAAGGGCACCCCAGGCCACGGGGGGTGCACTCAGAGGCCTGAGGGGGCATCTAGGGCCATGTCCCTTCCGCACCTCCTCTTCCCCACCTCCCCCCACCCAACCCCAAATCTTGCTAACTCAGCGCTTCCCGGGGACCAAACTTTATGCGGTGCCTCCGGCCCCCCTCCCCCTCGCTCCCTCCCCCGGCGCGATTGCGGCACTGCGTCTCCGCGTCCTTCCAGGCCCAGGACACGGCACGGTGGGGGGAGGGGGCCGGACCGGCTCCTTCGGGGGTTGGGTCCCCAGGAGGCTGGGAGGGGGCCTGGCGTCTCTCCTCTTTCCCCCTCTTTCTAATTTCCCCCACTCTGAACTGTCCTCCTCTCTTCCAACACAGGGAGGAAGTTAGGAGAGGAAGAGCTTCAAGGGAGAACCAGGGGGAGGGTGGCTACTGAGCCTGGGAAGTTACAGATGTTTGAGGAAAGTTTTTGGGGGCAGTTGAAGGGAGCTTTGAGGAAAATCTGGAATTTTGAGGGAGATAAGGCTGGAGGGAAGATAAGGCTGGAGTGCGGGCTCTTTGGTTCATTTTGGGGTCGGGGGACACTGAGCGGCCCAGTCCTGGACTTTGGAATGGGGGAGTGGGGCTTGGGAAATGGGTATGTAGCAGGGCTGGGGGGGGGGGGGCGGGTGGAAAGATGTCAAGGCAGGGTAGAAAGAACTGGGAGCTATTCTGAGAAGTAAATTTTGGGGCTGATAACTTGAGGGTCCCAAGGACTGAGGTTAGGAAAAGTTCTGGAGCAGGAGGGAAAGTCGTTTACTGACCAGGAGCCTCCGGGGGAGGGATCCCAGAGAAAGAAAGTGGGCCGTGCAGTTTCAACGATGGAAGAGAGAAGCTAGGGGAATCTGTGGCTGAGAGAGAAGCAATTCTGGAGGACATATGGGAAGTTCTGGAGAGGAAAGGCACATTATGGGGGCTCAGGACTCTTCTTGAGACATTGAGGAGGAGTGTGAAAGGCTTGGGGGAAGTCTGGAGCTTTATGGGGGAAAATCCTTGGGATGCGAGTTGGCGTGGAGGATGCAGGAAGGGATGTGAACACGGAGGGGGCCGCAGCGTCCCAGGAGGGAAGGTGCTCCAAGACTCAGTGTTACGGTGAGGGGGGGGCGGGAAGTGTCCTAGCCAGAGCAAGTGGTTTGGAAGTTCCAAAGGGTCCAGGAGCCTCTGAGATTGGGTGGGGTGTCTTCTGACACTTTGAGAACAGAACAAGCAGGAGAGTTCAAAAATAGCCAGGAGACTCAAACTTGGATGGAGAGAGGGAGGAGGCGGGGAAAGGGGCAGAGGGAGAATCAGGGACGTTTTAGGAGAGCCCGAAGGACTGAGAGCTGGAGGGTGGGCTTCCGAGGGTTTGCAGGGGGCGGGGAAGGGGGGCCAGTGTTCACAGGGCCTGGGACACTTTGAGAGTTAGGAAGGGATATCTTCTGAGGGTCTGGGGATGCTCCAAGAAACTGAGGGCTGGGGAGAGGTCTCCTGAGGGTCAGAGGGGTAGCCAAGAGAGGCGAAAACAGGTTTAGAGGGACTCAGAAGACTGAGGGTTGGAGAAGGATCTTCTGAGGGTCTCGGAGGGATCTAGGAAAGGCGGGGGTGGGGTCTTCCAGAGGAACCCAGGAGATTCACGGTGGGGAGGAAGTTTCTAAGGGTCTAGAGTAGCTTAGAGAAGCGGGGTGGGGTTTGGAGGGGTCTGGGGGATTCTGAATGTTGAAGAAACGCCTTCTGAGGATCTGGGGATGGACAGGAGAGGGGGGTGTGTTCAGAGGAGTACGGGAAGCTCAGGGTTGGGGGAACAGGCTTCTAAGAGACTGGGAGGCCGACAGGAGGGGCTGAGACCAGGAGGAGCTGGGACAGGCTATGGGATTCTGAGGGTTGGGATGGGGCGCTCCTAAGGGTCCGGGAGCGCCTGGAGAGGGGAGAGGGATGGGGGCTCCGAGAGCGCGCTCACCCTGGCGGCCCGCGACGAGTAGGGGTCCTCGAAGAGCGCCCACACGCGGGGCTGCCAGCGGCGCC